AAGACTTCACAGACATCTGATTTCAGGTCCCCATGGAAGTGGCCTGTGGTACTTCCATCAACTGGACTTTATGGCTGGAGGCTTCAGTGGAGTTTGATGGGAATTTCTGAGACAATTGTCTCAGTAAGAATGTATACATCTAACTTTATTGGGTTCTTTCAAAGATTTGTGTTTAGTGTCTCAAAATACACTTTGCCTTATGCACAATCAGAAGTAGTTGAGGCTGTTTTAAGACACAGCCTGAAAGAGCTCATCCTTAGCTTTACTCTGGTCTTAATCATTTAAAGCAGCAGCATTAGACTCTTCTCAAGTATGTATAGTGTATAAGTTGTGTATTGTATGTAGCAAAAACCTTTAAAATGTAGAGGTTTGCATTGTGATTATCTTTACAAATTAACAGTCTGTAAATGTTTTATGCTGTTAGAAAAGTGTATAAGAACAAAGAATTGTATTTGAATGAAATAACTGTGAAAGAGAATAGTAAATATGAAATAATTTCTACCAAAAATGTTGAAAAGCAGTGCACTTAGAGAAGAAGAAAAAGCTAAACCAAGCTAAGCATGATGTAACTATATGGATTGTAGATACAGGCTGCAGGCTATGTAGCTCTGTGAGAAATAGACCTGGTGACATTGCATTGCCATGGGCTTGATTAGGTTTTTAGATTTTACATTGCTATTGGGCTTTATTGTGGAAGTTCTCCTCTGAAGTTGTGGCTTTTGAAACTGCAAACTAAAATATTTGTATACTTGTGTTAGTTCCCAAAGTGGTGGCATGTGGTAGCTTCCTTGCTGTTGTAGAGCAGATAGGCCTTAGGAACACAATGGTTTGAGAAAACATGTTGGCTGAATCCACACCAACCCTCATGTCAAGGATGTTACATGATGCTTGCTATACAAGTGAAAAATAAATTTTTTTAATGCCCAAAGTCCAAGAAAATGTACATAAAAGTGAGTTCTAACGTGTGTTCTAGCCTTAGCTATTATCAGGTAAGGTACAAGTACTGCAAAGAACTCCACTGTTACAGGCCATGTGATTGCTTGTTGGTACAAAACCCTTTCATTCCTCCTTGATTTCCTTCTCTTATTTTGGAGCTGTGGGGATACTTTGTTAGTTCACTACCCTGCTGTACTTGAAGCAGGTTTCTAAGATACATGGCTTCACATGTCATACTGCTAATACAATTTACAAAATACCTGTGACTGGAGGAAAAAAGCTATTGTCAATACAATCTTCAGTGAGTCCATCCCATTAGGAAGTATTAGATAAGGTAGATTAGGAAGTATTAGATAAGATTGTGGAAGATTTTAGAGCAAAACTTTAAATTAGGACAAGTCAAAGGTTTAACAGCAGTAGACCTTAAACAGCCTAAAGATGACATACCCTTGAAGTTGGAAAAAAGATGGAGAATATCTTCTTTCACCCTAAAATATTAGAAAATTCCTCCAAACACATTCTAGAATCTAAGCCTTTTACCATCTAGGCTGATTTGAGCATACGGGAAACCAAATTAGGTTTTCCTTTCCAATTTGTTTTACATGGAGCAAAGGCTATAAAGGAGACTAACATTTCATTCATATTATTTCATGAATTGGAATATTTGTTTTGATTATGGATTATGAAATAAATGCAAGTCCAGCCACCTATGGAGAAAATAAAGGTTTTCACAATCCGCTTTCCAAGAGTCTTTTATTGCCAACAGTCTTAGAGAGTGTTTTCAAGTCATTAGGTACCAGAAACATTTTGAAAACTTCTAATAAAAAAATCTCAAACCTTTAAAACTAAAGGTGTCAAGTAGCAGTCATTTTTAAAAGAATTGTGAAAAGGCTTTGGCCTTCTATGGAAAACATTCATTTAAACTCTGGGTGTTGTGCCTGAAGGCAGTACTCTAGAAGTACTCTAGAAGGAGAAGGCTGTCTTAGTTGAACAGGGATTTTCTCTTGGAAATGAGACTAGACTGGAATGTGTGTGCCCAGTGGAAGCAGGGTCGGGTGACGTGGGAAGAATACTGAGATGCTGTTTGCCAGTGCAGGAAGAAAATTTGTGTGGTTAAAGCTCAATTGGATATGAAGCTCCTAAAAATGTGGAGGACAATAAAAAGAGTTACTTCAGTGTCAGTGACAAAACTCTTTTAGAAATAAACTTCAGAAATAAAATCAGCCCATTAAGGGTGAAGATGGTCACCTCACATAGCAGGGACATGGACAAGGCAGAGGTGTTTAATGCATTCTTTGTCTCTGTCTTCAACATGGATGACAGACCAAAGGAGGCTCAGTGCCCTGGCCTTCAAGGACCATTACTGCAAGAATGATCAACTCCCAGTTAACCCTGAATTGTGTGGGACCCAGTGCTCCAGCTGGATCCCTACAAATCTATGAAGCCTGACAGGGATTTATCTAAGCATCCTTTAAGAGCTGCTGTTGTCTTTGCAGTATCTCTCTCAATGATTTTCATGGGGTTTGGGAATCCAGAGAGGTCTCAGCTGACTGAAAGCTGGAGAATGTTGTCTCAAGATTCAAAAATGGCAGGAAGGAGGACCCTGGAAACTACAGGCCCATGAGTCTCATTTCAGTGCCCAGTAAAATCATGGTCAAGATTATTCTGGGAGGTATTTGAAAACCTGGAAGACAATGCAGTCACCAGTGACAGCCAGCACAGCTTCTTGAGAGGGAGGAGTCCTGCTTATCAGATGTGATTTCCTTTTATGGCAAGTACCCCACCTTGTTGTTCGAGGGAGGCCAGTTGATGTGATCTTTTGGGGTTTCAACAAAGCTTTTCATAATGTCTCTCTCAGAATCCTTCTGGACTTAATGTGCAGCCCACAGATGGATAAACACACCCTGTGGTGGGTGAGCAGTGGCACAAGGGTCAGGCACAAAGGGTTACAGTGACATCAGACTGGTGTGACCTGTCACTGGTGGGGTTGCACGGGGCCCTGTCCTCAGCCCTCTGCTCTTCAACACCTCCATAAATGACTTGGATGGACTACTCAATGGAATACTATGTAAGTTTCCTGATGATACTACAGGTGCTGGATTCTGGACCTGTGATCGTGGAGCCCTGGTTGTGTGTGTAGGCTGGGGAATGGGAGGCTGGAGAATAGAGAATAAGACCCTGGAGAGCAGCAGTGTGGAAAAGGGCTTGAGGATCCTGCTCCATGGCAAGTTGAACATGAGTCAGCAGTGCCCTGGCAGCTAGGATGGCCAACCACATTGTGGGGTGCATCAGGTACAGCATCGCCAGCCAGGTAAGGGAGGGGACTGTCCCACTCTGCTCTGAGCTGGAGCAGCCTCACCTTGAGTGCTGAGGGCACTTTTGGGCACCACAATATAAAGAAGACATTAGGCTATTGGAGAATGTCCAATAGAAGGCCATGAGGATGGTGAAAGGTTTGGAGAGGAAACTATGAGGAGCAGTTGAGTCTTGTCTTCTCAGCTTGCAGGAGATTGAGGGAAGACATAGTCTACAATTCTCATGAGGGGAGGGAACCCCTTCACTGTCGTGGACAGTGACAGACTTTGAGGTATGAAGCTGAGGCTGGGGAAGTTTTGGTTGGATACCAGGAAAAGGCATTTCACCCAGGGAGTGACTGGGTGCTGGAACAGGCTCCCCAAGGAAGTGGTCACAGTGCCAAGCCTGACAGAGTTGGAGAAACATTTGGACTCTCAGGCACATGGTGTAATTCTTGGGGTATATTTCACAGGGCTAGGAGAGTTGCATGATCCTGATGGATCCCTTGCAGCTCAGAATATTACATGATTCCATGAATGCTATGCAGCTGAGGGTGGCAGGCTCTACATCTGCCATCCCCAGGGCTGGAGGAAGGCTTTGTCTCTGCTTTCTGGAAGTAGGCTCAGTCCCTTTTCCTATCTGCTTGGGGGGCTGTCTGTCTGCTCCAGTTAGGCCAGGCATGGCTGCTCCCTGGAAAGAGGCATTTTGTAAGAAGCCGCTGTAGTGAAGCTTTGTGCTGCCTTCAAGGCTTGTTTCCAACTGCTCTAATAAGGAAATGGAAAACACAGCTGTGCATAAAGTGCCAAACACCAAAAAGCTTGGGTCCTAAAAGTGAGTGCTCAGGTGCTTCTGAGCAGAGGTGACCCGTGCAGGTGTCATTTCACCTGCCAACACAACTAAGGACAATCCCAGCAGAAGCAGGGAACCAGCCACAGTAGGTCTGGAGACATTCCCTTCTCGTGGCCAGGCTCGTGGGGGCCAGGTACAACAGCAGTTATTGGGGGTTTCTGCTGCTGTCCTGTCCCCAGCACCTGAAGAGGGCTGGAGGCACTGTGCAGAGGCATGCAGAGTTTGCAGGTGCCCCTAATGCATTCAGAGCTGCATTTCTTCTCCCCAAGAACAGCGTAACTTCCCAGGGCCTACTCAGGCTCAGCTTTAGTCCAAGTGGTCAAAAGGGAAAGAAGGGCCTTTGCAAGAAGACCCGTGGCCAGCGGAGGAAGAGGACTAGGGTTACATCTTCCTGCTGACATGGAGACAATGTCCTCTCTGCAGTACATAAAGTGGCTGCTCTTGTCCTTGCAGTCACTCTCCACAGAAGTGGACTACCCTTTTCTATTCTCACCCATTGAGTGTCACCTACTTCCAGCCAAGCCTACCTTTCCAGAACATTCCAGGCATCATCTGGCTCAGAAGGGCTTGTATTAACGCTTACATGCTTTCACAAATACAGTGTTTGTTGAAAACAAACACATGTGTTGTCTCTGTCAAAGTACATGGAGCTCCTGTGGTGGTGTAAAGTCAGTGTAGCAGAGGTCCAGGTCCTCATGTGCCATTTGGTCCTCTGATATTTTTCATCCCTGATTCTACTGGGTTGAGCAATTGATTGATTTACTAATATCCCTATGCACTTTTTGAATGGCACACATTCTGCTACAAAATGTGCCTCCCTTCAGGTCAGTTAAAAAAAGACCAAGCCCAACCCCAAACCCAGCAAATAAACTTCATTAAGGAACCTGAGCATAAGAGAATAGACTCAAGTCCATTTTACATGCATTTCAGTCTAGTAATAGTGCTCACTGTTTTATTACTTTGGTTAAACATATACAAACTGAATAATCAGAAAACAGTTGCATGACACTTATATTCCAAACTACATTGCTCAAGGACTTCCTCAGAGACAAAACTTGTCTCTACAGCTAAAATATCACAGTCAGCAGAGAGGCAAAGACTTGAGATTCACAAAAGTGGTTAGGAATATAAATTATCACAATATTTCCACATACATTATTTTTCCTGCAATTCTCAGTTAAAAATGTTTCTAAAAGTAATAAATATTATTAAATAACAATTGTACAATAAAACTTCCTTTTACAGCAAAATAGTCACTTTTTAGTTTTGTTGTTGCTGCCCACACAATGCAAAGAAAAACATTTACCTCGAAAGAAGAAACCTAGCTTCTTTCAAGTTTTAACTCTGCAGGACTTTACTAAGAAGCAGTTATCACAGCAATCCAGACAAAAAGGACACAAATATATACTAATTATAATCTTCACATTCTTCACTTAGTAGAAAATTTCACTTAATTTTGCATTAATGTATGCCTGGGTGTGTTTGGTGTCTTTTTCCTCATGGAAGAAAAAGGAGGACTGCTGGATAAAGTTTTTATTTGACCTGGACTTTGTTTGATCTTCATGATAGCTGCATAAAGTGTAAATCTGCATCTTAATCTCAAATTCTGAGGCTTTGTTTTCTGAGTCATCTGCACTGTCTCTTACACAGTGGGGTAGCAGAATGAGTCACCTAGCTCTAGCTTCTTTCTTCCTTTGGTTTCCGTGACCTGTTGTGTTGTCAAACAAGGTATAAACACTCTTTGTATGGTGCTTTTGCTAGAAATGTGTAGCTCTGAAATCTTATCCCCTTTACTGAGACAAAGAAAAGAAAAAAAAAAGCCCTGCATTTTCTCCCTGGAAGCCTTAGGAGATAGTTACGTTGGAGTGTGCAGAGGAACAGATCAGGGCTTGTGAACATAAATGTCTCAATAAGAGATGAGCAGTAGGCTTTGTATCCCCAGAGGTTCTGCTTTAACTCTATCAACCAATTAGCATGGTTATAATTTGGCAACAACTCTCTATTCTCATTACTGGCTTAAATGCCTACTGGCTCATGTTTCCAGGCTTCACATTTCTTATCCCTGAAGTTTGCTCTCCCCAGACAGCTTTTCACTCTCTATCCAAGCCTCTGGCTAACTGCAGGCAAACTGTATATCCATGTTATCTTTTCGGTGAGCCTGCCCTCATTACAGCTGCATCCAATGCAGATATGGCCAAGGTCCCAGACATTGTATGCGAGTGAGTAGAGTAAGTCCAGCTGATCATAGAGCATTTAGCGGAAATTCACCCACATTTTGACAGCTTTGAACACACATGGGTGTCTGAAGAGTGCAGTCCTCAGCTTGGGCAAAAAAGTGGTTTTGACAATGCACTAAGGTATGTCTGAATTTAGACTTGATGCAGACATATTTTGAAACTGTCAGGCAAATAAAAAGGGAAGTATGACTCCTACTTCAGCTTAGACTTCATTTATGCAAATATGGATTATGGTAATAATCCTAATACAAATTCTTGGTTCTAACACTTACTTTGGATAGACATTGGGAGATAAGAACAAAGTTTTGAAAGCAGGATTTGCAAACTTTTTCTAGAACATTCACAAGTTCCAAATATCCCTCTGATAATTGCAAATTTCTTAGAAGGTGCAAAACTTTGCTGGTTATTAAATCTACTGGCAAATGTCTAAATATCCATCAATTCTATCAATACATTATAGCTGGCATCTGGCATTGATGTGCTAGCAGCAATCACACAAGAGTATAATTTTTGAAAAATTCTCCTCATATTACTGCACATGATGCCTGGGGACCATAGTGATAAGAAATGTGACTATATTATTCCACAGTGAGGAAAATGTATGAATACAGACTATGGAAAATTTAGTGTTGGCAGGTAATATTTACCAGACTGTTAAACATTTTGTTCCAATGACAGTGCACATTTTGCACTGAAGTCTTGTTCCCAGGACTATGTCCTTTGTTCAAGTTTTTATTGAATGTCTGGCAGACAGGTTTTGGCAGAACCAGTGTTACTTAGCATTGTGAACCCTGCAGGAGATGAAGTGGAGTGAAACAACTGTATAACTGAGCAAAAAGGCAGGCATTAAGCCATGGAAATTGCATCTTCTCATATGTTGACCAGCCAGGCATGTTTAGTTTGAACATTCTCCTCTTGCATTAAGGAAAGGGAAGCTGCAATTCCTCACTCTGAATAAACTCCCTTTTGCCAGAAAGTAATTCAGTTTTCAAACCATATTTTCAGGTTTCATTGCTTCTGAAGCATCTGAAATTGAAAGTTTGGAGACATGATTTTACCTAGATATCCAGCCTATCACTGCCAGCAACATTGGATGAATTTTATTAACTTAATAATTAGTCTAGATCTGCAATAAAAAGTAATCACAATCATCTGGTTCACATATAAATGTTCTTTGTTTAAAGGCATTAAATTTTCATTGTCATTAGTTCCTATACTTGCAACACAACTGAAATCACAGCTGTTAATCAGATAGGACTCAAAACCAATGTAGACAGTCTTGCAGGATATTTAGGGTTCTGATTCTGACTTTGCAGCTATTTATTGGAAAAACATCAAAAGATACTATCATATCACCTAATCTCAGTGATTTCTATTGAGTCTAGAAAATATTTTCTTTCAGTGAAATCCCACTTCTTGAAGTCATGGCACTGAATTACCACAAGCAAGTGTCTAGTCCTTGAGATTGCATAAAAAATAATAAAAAATATGAAGGACTCCAAACCAAAGGTGAACATTAAAAGACTCACATTATTATGCTGTCAGTTGTCAGGTTTTCAGCTAACTTCTCATCATTTAAATCTATCTTACTACTTTCACATCTCTTAAATTGGTGGCAAAGTTGTCTCTTCACAGAAGTGAGCCCAGCTGCTCTAGCAGGTTCAATTAGTTCTTGTTGCAGTCAGTTTAAAATTGATCTAATGACAACCGGTTTGGAACTGCTATCCAAATAGCTTTACAGTTTATTCACCCTTTTCATAAAGGGGGAAGCTAAATCTACCAGAGAGACAGGGACAAAAACCATGTCAGGATCCACAAATGGAGTACTGAGTGGCACACAGGCTCTTCCTTTCTGGACAGTTTAGAGGCTGTGTGATGTAGAAAAGCCTCTGTATCCTCATGTGTGGCAGACCTGCTGGCCCACCGTGTCAGCAGAGCACTGTTGCAGTGCAGTGGAGCTATTGCCCCCTCAGACCACACTGCATCTAGACAAGATGTGTAACCCTTGCATCATCACTGGGTATGCCAAGCTGGGCAGATTGGCTGTGCTGACAGAGCAGCTCAAAATAGCCACTTTTCCCTGGAGGCACAGTTTGTAAAATAAAGTCTGGGAAATTTAGTATCTCTGTCAAGCAGTTTCATTTTGTGTCTCCTTGACATCAGCTTTAATTTCCAAAACATGCAGCTAAGTGGCTGCTTAAGTTATCAAAGCTAAAGCTAGGACAGTGGTAAAAAAATTAAGATATTTATTTCAGTGTATGTTTAGTGCCTTTAATTCATACACCCAAATCTTGTCACATTTTTCTGGGATATTTAGGAATCCAAAACTGACATAAGGAAGCAGGTGGGCTTTTTGAAGACACCTAAGGGTTATGCTTTGGGATATAAGACCTGTTCCTATTTCTTTGCCACTCCCAGTCTACTGAAACAAAATTTTAAGAATTCCACTAAACTCAGTGCCATACTGATTTGGGTTGAATTCAGCATTTAATTGCTCTCCTTTGCTCTCAGCTCCCATTCAGACCTAGAAATATCAAATAATAACTTTCTTTAGTAAAATTAATCACAAACATTTGATTCACTAATGTCTCAATTTGGCTTCTAGATGTCCTAATTACAGAATAAGGTGCATTTTTACATAGACGCAGATTCCATGATTAGTCTTAGGTGTCTCAATAATTTCAAGTTTTGAGATTACTCAAAATAAAACTTTCAAATTGCAACTTCTCCATATTTAAAAGCAAAAGGTACAAAAAATTATTTCAGAATTTTAACATGATAGTCCTGCCTGAATATATTCAAAGTGAATTCTTCAGTCAGTTTGACTACAGTATGACAAATTTTTAAACTTAGCAAATTCTTAGAACCAAACGTAACTTTAAGTATACTCTGGGGTAGGCAGGTACTTAACCTAGACTTACCCTGCTAAGTTTTTATGAATCAAGTCTGAAGATTTGATTTGAGAGACTGGTGCTAGAGAAGACCTTGAATTGCTGAAGGCTAAATCTTGACTCTGGCACAAGTATTGCATTTACAGGAACTGTGTCTATTGAATTTGACTCATAATAAGATTCATAGAATGGGAAAATAACTTTATATAATGCTTTAATGTGAACAGTACAAACATCCCTTAAAGCATTTCCCAGTACCAAAAGTCAAGGGCATTTCTGCCAGAAATGTGTCTTCATTGTATGTGTATTTTCTAAACTTGATATTTAGAGAAAAACTAGTATATTTCCAATGCCTATCACTTGCTGAAGGCCAAAATGAAGTTATGCTTTGGCAAGTAAATGCAAGTGACATCATTTGCAAAACTGACCACTGAGTTCAGATAGTCTTCACTGCTTATAACAAGAAAAGATTTTTCAGATATGTCTTTGAACAGTCATGTACATCTTGTATTAAGTCTATCAAACACAAGTTATTTGAACTTGTCTAATCAGTATGCAACATCTCGTTTGAAACTGTTAATTCAAGGACACCTAGATCTTCACCATAAGCAGAGAACTACTTATAAATAGCCTTAGCACTGAAATTAATAAATTGAAGTTACAGTATACTGTTACAATATCATAGAAAAATCAAAGCACACACCTTGTACACATAGAGATCACAACAAGTCATTGCTAAAGTAAGATACAAATGTTTCGAATAACATCATATAAGAATTCAAACTTGACGTCAGAAAGATAAAATCCTTTTGATATCAGTGACACTGAATAATGCGTTTAAAAAATATTTTATGCTAAATTTCTGAGTTGGAATTCTAGTTACTGAATTCAGATTCCTTCCATGGTTAACTAGCATAATCCATCTATAATCCCCATAGTTGTGCTTCTTAGGTAAAATCAGAAGTAAGATTTGTAATACTAAATTTCTCAAGAAATTGAGACTGCTGGATTCTATTTTTTTTATCTGAACAATCACACTTGTCATTTTTCTTTTGGTAAAAACACATGGCACAGAAGATAGTTTTATACTGTCAACAGACTGACTTGAAAAATATAAATATATACTGTATTAATATATATAATGTGTATATACACTATCAACATTCACATTAGAGAATCTAAACAATTTTGTTGAAATTACTTTTAAGAAAGCCTTTTGCTGTGATTTCATGTCACATAAAGCACTGAAAATGTTCAAGTGTACCATATGAAATGCAGCTTCTTAAACAAAATATACTTGTGAAATGTATGTGAATATGTGGGGTTTTTTTAATGTACATTTTCTTTTCAGATCTGCAATTTCTACCAGTTATAGCTTGCAAGTTGCAATAACTAAAAGAGTTATCTGGAGTCAGTGTTTTCTTTCAGCAGGCTGTTGCAGGCAGAGTTCACTCACTGAAGAAACTATAGGCAAATTATTCTCAAGGTGATAGTTGATGAGATGACTTATGCTGTCAAAGACACGATCTTTTGTACGAACCTTCAAGAAAAGGATGCAAAAAGATAGATTAATGAGTAATTCCCCCTTAACTTCACACTAAAATTGTCTAAAATGACAAAATCATATTTTAGAATCTGATCCCTCTTCCATCAAAATTGGTGGAAATTTGGCACTTACCCAGTGTGGCTCCTGTTTTTTCTCTCACTCCCCCTATTTTCACCAAATATGTATTTTGTATGCAATTCCATGGACCAGCATACTTTTATTACTCTTTCTGAATAGATCTGCTTGAATACTTCTGTTCATGATTTTCTTTCACTGTAAGTCAGATTTTTAGATCAATTTTTCTTCTTTGAAGGACCACCTGCTTTGAGGTGTTTTCACCTTTTTAATTAGAAAGCACTATTGTGCCAGATATGTTAGAATCCAGCTTCTTTGAGCACCTCAGCATTTTTGTGCTTCTCTTAAGATCTTCTTCTTCCACTACTCGAAAATTCCCATCCTAGAAAGAGATCCAGCCACCATATATACTTACCTTGGGTTTGCCCTATGCTGCTCAATACATCCTTGTGCCATAACTTAAACACTTCAGGGCTGGAAAAATTATTTTTCTAGCCCACATACCAGCCCTTTGTGGCGGCATCCTGCTGGTATATAACATTCCACCCATGGTAGGAGGAAACTGACATTGCAAGATAAAACAGCCAAAATTATCAGAAGCCAAAAACTAATCTATATTACAAAGCAATCTTTAATTATTTAGCCACATATCCACAAAACATTTCCTTCCTAGGTTTCAAATGAGTTAGGCATACAGCTACTGCAGGCAGAGCACAAATCCACCTCGAGCAAACATCATGTTGCACTAAAACTTTCTTTTGGGCTGGCTCTACACTGCCTCAAGCAAATGCCTGTGAGCACTGTTCTAAGTATGAAATGTCATCTATTCTCCTTGAACTTTTCTCAGGAAGAGAGAACAACTTGTGTTAAAACTTTCAAAAGTCATCTTATGCTGTGGTGGACACCTCTCCTGAAATAATTCAATTTCAACATTAAGTTCTGTAAAATCTGCTAGAAGCTTAACACAGTATGTCCCGTGGTGACATAAAAAAAGGAAACTAATAACTTTGATGGCATATGATGCTTTCTGGTCAGTCTGCACATAATTATGTCACTGAAGGAATCCAAAAGGCTCTCCCAAGTTCTGAAGCATTCTGCTTTGAAATGTCATTTTTCCTAAAATCAAACTATATTTTCAAAATGAAAATACACCTTTAAAAAAGGCACTAACTTTACTTATCTGTATTCTGAGATGTTCTGACTGTAAGTTAGACACCCTACCATCACCAGAGTCTAATTCTAAATCTAGAAAAATCCAGCAGTCCTCCATTTTAAGCATCTGATATCAGACCGAGAGATTTCTTTTTCCTTTTTTTACTTTTTTTGTTAGCTGGATGACAGCAGAAGCAATTGGACAGTTAACTCTGCTCTGAGAACACGCCCTTAAGACCTGCTACATGTCACTGGGTACAGTGTGTGAAATTAATTTTCAGGCAACATTTGTGTGAATCAGTCTTCAAGAACAATCCTGCTGAGACCAAGCAGACGAAATGCAAGCCACTGGCACGCTGTGGTGGCTGGCCACACACTGGCATTTTATTGATGATTCTCTACTTTGACAAGTTGCAAATAGGGCTGCTCAGAGGCTGTGTCAGGATCCCACAAGTCATACAGAGAGCACAGCTGTCTGTAACTAGCTACAGTTGCAGAAAATCATTGTTCTGGAACAGTGCCTCCTGAGCAAGGCACCTCAGGGCCATGATGGTACAAGCAGGCTGAGGGAAGGGATAGGTGCAGATAACAAGCAGGTCCCTAACCAAGGAGGTCACCAAATTAGAGATGCACTAGAGGCAGTGCAGTGAAGGGGGGGGGGGGCATCCTGTACAGGAAGAAAATGTCCTGGAAGTCATCACAGGACCTGAGTATTCCATGCCAGTCAGCACTGCAGAAGAGCTCCTGGTGGGGCACAGTGTTCCTGCACTTACCACATCACACAGCAGCGTTTCCTTTGCAGTAGCCGGTAACAGTAATTTGTGGGTTTATGCTGAAAAGAGTATTAGGCTATCTTTTTGCAGGAGTCATAAAACTGTTGCTGAATTTTAGCAAAGGAGACCGCCCCTCAAGAGGTGTAGAGCCACTCCCCTGGGCTGGTGTACCCATCAAATCCAGGACTAAGCAGCTGGCACCTCAAAAGTGCAAACCCATTCTTTGACTGGCCTCATGTGGAAAGTGTAATTAATTGCAACAAGTACCAAGGGTGCTCCTCACCACTGCAATACAGACTCTGCAGGACTGACATAATTCTGCCACAGCTTTTTCAGCTCAGATGCCTACAGGCTGGCATTTATGGCAGTTTCTCCCTTACCTTGCAGCTGGTTATCTAAAGTTGTCCTTTATAGAGGAAAAGGAGTTGCCTACTTGCAGCTACCAGGAGAATAAAGAATAAAACTCATGACAATGGTTCCAATCTCTCTGAAGAGCTCACGCCTCCACAGAAGCTGGACGGGACAGGCTACAGAAAACTAGAACTCCCTTGCCCCCTCCATCCTGCTGTGTGGAAAGTCCCTTCATCAGCTGAGGGAGCTATTGTGCAGCAAAGAGATAGAACAGGCCTACCCCAATTGTCTCCTGGGCATATATGCAGGAAAAAACAGAGGGCCTGGTCCATATCCCAGGTAACAGACCTGCCAAGTGGAAATTGCCAGTGTGCACGCTAGTCAAACCTCCCTCCTTTAGCAAGAATGCTGTGCTTTTGACCAAGACTACACAGTCAAAGTGTGAACTTGCTTGGGAATCAGGTCCCTAAGGCTCCCTGCAATGTGCAGAAACTATGCTCTAGGTCTTCTGCTAGGCATCAGGGAGAGAATTAGATATGTGATGGCACAACAGAGATACGACGTGGTGCTTATGATAAGGTGTGAATAAGCTGCAAAGAAGATTAAAGGCATTTAGATAAAATGAGTAGAGTCAGAAACGTCATCTATTAGTGAGGAATCAGTGCTTACAGTTCCTTCTGGATCCACCAAAAGAAGATGCTTGGCTTGTCCTTTGTGCATGCCTGTCAGCACATAGCAGCCAGGATTTGTGGTACTCTTCCTCACAAGGAAATCTCCACATTTCTTTAATAGCTGTTCTGCTTCTTTCCTGCTCATCTCTCCTTGATACCATGGCTCAGCGCTCAGCTCTTCAGCCTCAGTCTGGACAGCTACTTTGGATAAAGGAGGACCGGTGCATCCCGTGGAGGTGGATTTCTTCAACATAGCCTCAGATGTTTGATTCTTGAGAGCATCTTCAAATGGTTCTGATTGTGGAAATAGAAACAAAAGAGGTAAATCATGTAGCAAAATGGTGATATTCTGGGTCATTTTAAACTGGGTTTATTTTGCATTACAGCCACTTCTCTTTATGAGAAAAATGAGGGAAAATATACTAATAGACTTACCAATTTATATAATGTATGTAGACTGAGGAGTGTAATGTGTTTAAAATGTATATTATGCACAGAACAATACTGGCAAAAATCAGACTGAACCAGACTGGCAGGATCTTCTGAAAGGTACTGCTTTATTTCAGCAGTGGCTATTGTCAACAGCTGAATTTATACGATCTGGTACCAGGCAAATCTCTCCTTCAGTCTTTCTAGGTATGTTAGACAGTTTAATTTCAAATAAATTGCATAGTAGGGATACCTAATGTCATTATACTTATATCTGGTCTCTGTTCAAACGACTTATTCATTTAAAAATTATCCATTACTGAGTCTCCAGCCCAAGGCTATGTCTAGTAGGGAGCATTCACCCTCACACGCAGCCCACTCCTAGCCTCCATCTAGGAAGAGAACCTTGCAAAACAGACACAAGTTAACACATTTAACATCATTTGCCTTGCTAAAATCAGCCTTGGGGGAGCATCTTTTAAACCTCAGCTAAGTCCTGAATTCAGTGCAATTGTAGAGTTGAGTGCAAAGAAGTGTCATTATGGATCCCAGCAGTCTTACAGAAATAGCAAATGTGTCATAGGGTGCTTCGTTACATGTTGTACTGACCTCTTGGAAGCTATTTACTCTTGAAAGACCTTCATCTGGCCCACCAGTACATTTCTAAAAGAAATGTTTTTCTGTGCCCCTAGGCTTACAAAAGGACATCTGGAGGGCGAGCGGCACAGCAAAACGATACATCAGCTCTAAACAGATTGTTCCGATGCAAGGAGTACAAAGCTCTGTTTGCATGGGGCCACAGAGAAGCTAGTTTAGGTCAAAGAAATAGGAAAAATATTGTGCTGTCACAGCTTATTGATATCTCAGCTAGTTATTAAAGGTAGCTAATAAATCTCTTCACTATACTGCAGTCTGCATGAAGTCCAACTTAGGTTTAGCTTGACAAACCACTCACTTAGGGTTAATTGGCACATTTTCTAATTCTACTTTTCTCTGATGTTCCAATGGCTGATAAGAGTTAACATCCCTGATTTCAAACAGCAGATTTTCCTCATTTCAGATCTATATTCAAAGATAGATACTCTCTCAACTTTCATCCTCCTCCTTTCTTTCAACTGAACATCTCACTAAGCTGTGGAAATAGAGCTGTATCTCAGTAAAAACATGCCAGAAAAATGGTTTCTGTATACTAAGATAACAGAAATGTAGATATTTTATTTTACAAATAAAATAACTTGTAGGAACCAACTGCTTTGTCTCACTGCCTTTTAATTATATGAACTGAATTAAATAAAGCATGGATAAGCAATTTATTTGAGGGAGGAAGAGTAAATAAATCAAGAAAATGTTCTGTGCATCAAATGCTTTCACTGTTTCTTCACTTTTCATATCTTCTCAAGGCTGAAAACAAAGTATATTGGTAGCACCAATACTAAACTATGGCTGAGGCTTAAGCTGTGGTTTAGCAGCTATGGTGATGATTCTGATCTAGGAGAAGCAGCCTTCAAAGTTGGAACAGATAGGGCAGTAGGCCTACCCAGAGAAAGAGGTAACTCAGTACTTTAATTTCCATGCTAGGTTCCTTGTGGCACAAAGCTTTTCATATATGCACTGTCTCCCTCATAATATACTTACAGGACAGGCTGAAGACAATTCTTCACCCATCCATACCTTCACCCTCCTTCACTTTCCTCAATGGCAAGATTCCTGATTAATTTTTCTTCTGACATAATTGTCTCTGATATTAAGGATAACATAGGCTGCCACTAACCTTAAATCAGAAATTTTCAGACTAGCTCCAAGTCTTCAGCCACCTTTAATTTAGTTCAGTCCAGTATGAAACCACAATGGATTCTAAAATTCATCATAATTACACCAGGAACATTAAATTAGGAAAACTAAAATTTTCCTATTTTTTTTGTTTAATACAGAGCTAATGCATAAACATATTTGGTCACTTGTTAGAAAGAAAGTGAATAGGAGAGGAACTCACTCATGTCAAACAGATCCTTTCCTGGGCTGCTTGCTTCAGCATCCTCTGCTGTTCCACTGAAAGTACTTTCAGCGTCTGCCTGAAGTGCCAATAGATCTTCTCTATTTATGTGCTGGGTGTTTACATATATTGGCAGCTCTGCTGGTGGTGCTACTTCTGATTTCTCTTCTGACATACTACAAATATCCAGAGATCCTAGAAAATCCAAGACCTTTTTTTAATCAACAGAACAGTATTTAACAATTACCATAACACCACATCACCACAGGTTTAAAATTTCCTGATTGGGAGATGTAAAGTCAATAATTGCTGGATCTAGTAGAAAAAGTGTTGATTAATGGATTCAGAACTGTATTTCAATGAGGGTATGGTGGGGCTGTTTCCCAGGAGGAAAGGAAATCTTTGTACATAAAGACTGTAATTTTCAAAAATTATATTCTGCTGGGGAGTCATGAGAGGAGGAGAAGGTATGAAATCCTCAAATGTGTGTAGATTGACAATAGAGAATATAATCTGGCATTTGAACAAAAGCATCCCTAGAAACACAGCAAAGCTATCACATAAAGCTGGATGGGGTGAAGTTTTATATGTATTTTGAAATGACTTGAAACTCAAGACAACAAAAGGAACATTATGCACTATTTTCTATTTGTTGAGTAGAGAGCATTGCTTCCCATTTTGAATTAAATTTCTCACTTTAGGCTTTTCATTTGAAAATTCTATTTTGCATACTCTAGTGGGTCAGATTTTCAGAACAGATCTTGCAGCAGACACTTAATGATCATGGGGTTTTAAGATACAGAAAGTTAGAAAGCTGAAAGTCTGGGTAACTCTTTATGAACTGCTCTGCAGAAGAAAATATTTCATGAAGGTGTGCATTTAATAATTTATCCAGAGGTAATTATCAAATGCTTTTCAGAGGTATCAACACTAAAACTCAAAGGGAACCTATCAACCAAGTTCAGTTCATTGCCTTAAGACTTCGAGGCATGAGACTTTCACATGCTTTCCCTTCAAGACCACCTGCAGTATTACAGTTAAAAGTAGTGAAACTCACCTTGTTTAACTGGCCCGTGATGCCATTCTTCACTGAATTTTTCTCCTAAGTGATGGCTCTGATAATAAATTTGCTCTCCTCCCACTCCTGACGCAGACTAGAATGGACACATGTGCAAGGAATTTTTCAATTGCCTTTAAAATGCTCAGACACATTACAAGTGGCTCTGCTAATTTCCTTGGATGTATTTTCTGTACTGTCACTCTTCCTTTCCACTTCATCTAAATGTCAGAATATATATATATATATATATATATATATATATATATCCCAAATACATTTGAGTAAGAGTAAGATATTGCCAGTGACCTTCACGTGTTCTTCCCTGCTTTCTGCTTATAGTCACCCCCATGATACCAAATGATGCATCATTTCTTTACTTTGTACTCACATAGTGAGTTTTGACAACCTATTACTGGGAGAAGTGCTCCACAGAAACACACGTGGGAACAGAAGACAGCCCAGCACTTTTCACAGCATGAGCTGAAAGATTCACATTCGTACCAGGGCATGCACTTGGGCACTAAGGGGAGGATGCTGGCTACAGACAGGACCCCTCTGGATTTAAGCCGAGTTGTGCTGGATCTGAAAACACCTGTTAGGGGCTACATTGATACTTCAGTCAAACTTCTGACAGGAGTGCTGGTAGAAATATTCAAGCTGACCTTAGCTCAACACAAGGTGGAAAACTTATCAAGGAACCTGGCTAAATACTGATCACTGCCATGTCATTAACGTAATGAACTGTTAGTAATGAGTGCACTAGATTGTTTAAATGATGCTGCATTAAATCATTCCCAAGTAATGTGCACTATTTGATATTCTCTGAAGCAGACATGGTCTCTGCAAATGTGGATGCCCCCAGTGGATTTCTGTTCCTTCAACCTGGCTAATCTTTTAACACCATGAGGATTTCAACTTCTTTAATTTGTTCTGAACCTGCCTTATGTGTTGCCCCCTGGATCTACAGCGGCCATTCAGATGGAAACTGGCCACACAGGAAGGGCTGCGAGTTACAGACAGTCACAACGTATCCACCACAAAACCATGTCTTTTAAAAGATTTAGATCAATCAGCGGGATAGTAGAAATGAAATGATACTGACCTGAGCTGTGTCTGCCGCACTGGGAAGCTTTGTTTTGAGCCTGGCATCAAGGAATCCGCCAGGGGGAGGTATTTTATTTGGGATGTTGTTGTAATAGTGATGCTCTGTTGCCTCATTATCTTCCTCCGTCCATGGGTCCTCAAAACTTTGCATCCTATAAGGAAGAGAGTGCTTTCTTTTGCCTCTCACTTGTCAAGCACCTACAGATACTTTCAGCAGTTTAAGGCTGCCTGCCAGAGGATCACTGCTGCATGTTGTATGGACACTTCAGCTATCAATGTAAGTTGGGAAGCAATGATGGATCATGCAGCAGATCTCTGTTTAGACAAACTGACATAAACCTTCTTTGTAATGGACCAAATTCTTTCTGCTGAGTAGAGTGTGTTTAAACTTAGCTTTAAAGACCATTATAAACTGCATTAACAACTCTATCTAACCTTAAAATAGCACTTGTATTATTAATTGATTGACTGACTAGGCTCTAAACAGCTGTCTTTCATTATGACTTCTCTATCACCAATGTAATTCTACAACTTCACAAAGTCAAGAGATGTGAATACAGCATGCTTCCAGATTAGGATAGTAGCATTTTATATTCCCTACATACCTATTTCTGCTCTGATATAAGAGATTACAGAGTGTACAAGTTCACTAGGGTTTCTTGTAAGGTTAGTAAACACATAGCAGTCCATGTGTCTAAATAAAACAGAATGCTATTTCTCAGCCTTTTGAACATATACGAGCAGACAAAGTTTGTATCCTCCAGATATCACTGCAGTCAAACCTCCCTGAAATATATCACATTCCTAGAAACATCACCGTAATATGAGAAATACTGAAACATCATTAGTCATTTTGGAAGCCCAGCAGTCTGACCTACTCCATCTAAACTGACACAGCTGCTGTGACAGTAATGAGGAAATGCCACAAATAACAACCATTCTTAGCCATCCAACTCTGCCTACTAACTACAGCACAAAATATCTGATCATTTTAACATCATTGTGAAATCCATATTTAGCCTATTCTTTTAAATTGTCTGTACTTCTTTCATATTTGTTAGGTAAACACTGTTTTGCTAATACAGCAGAAATATTTTTTAAGTTCAAGTCTGTCTCCAGCAACATTGTCCACATTTCATCAAGTAAATTGAAAGCTAAAGAAGGTCCTTTAGCCGTCTTCTGGAATTGCACTCACCTATCAGGGAAAGTCGGTGTCTTAGAGGGGCATTGCAAGTACTGCTTAAATCGAAGCTCAAATGCTTGCCCTATGGTGCTGATGACATCCTGGGCCAGGCCATCACAGCATTCCAGTATATGACAAGCTAAATGAAAAAGATTGACATATGCAAATCACTGTTTATGTCATGGTGGGATGCAATGACCTATGACAAAATACCTACATGTCAAGCTTAGTTACCCTATTAGTGACGTACACATTTTATTAAAAACCAATTCTGATATAGTGAATTTCAGGTAATCACAACTTTTTAAAGGTTACATAAAATTGCACTGATGTGTAACTGCAATAGACAAGGTCATGAATCTGTTCCACTCCTTTATCAAGTCCATGAACAGAAAAAAGCCTCAAAATTTCACCTGTTATTACCTGAATGTAATAGATTATGTAAGAATCCTAAACTTTAAATTGATATTATAAAAATATTAATAGATGGTAATAATAATAATAAAAGCTTTATTTGTTTTCCTCAGTTTAATTACTTCACTTTTATATCTAATCACCCCAAGTTCACCAGCTGCTCTCTTTTCCCAAATTACACTCTGAGGGAGGAGTAGTATCCACAGATACCTTCTAGATAATGAGCCCTGATCTTATTCCAGGAATGCAGAGATTGGTGCCTGTTCCTGCTTGTTTGCATGGAGACACTCCCAGCAAACTGCAGGGTTTCTGAGGAGTGCAGAGCCAGCAACCTGATTAACTCCAGCATCTCTCTGTGCAGCCTCTCTGAATCCACTGTGACAGAGGCAGTAAAGGTGAAGGCTAGCAACACAAACTCTCTTGCTGTAGAAGACTGAGAAACCCTTATCAGCTGTCAGAGCAGCCAAATCTGCCCTGGTTTTAAATCAGAGAATGGCTTGGAGGTCTTGTCATATGCAAAAACACAAAGTGGTGAACTTGTGAAGAGCTCACTCAGCATTGCAGGAGCACAGATGGGTGCTAAGTGGTGGAAGCTAAAAATCTCAATGAACAACATCTCAGTGATATCCAGAGAAGCCCGAGTGAGTTAATTCTCCATACTCTGAATTGGACAAGCATATTGTCTACTGACTATAGCCTGGATTGGATTTCAAACCAGATCTTTTCCAAGTCCTGCCACATCTTGTTCAAAGTTACTGATTTTTTTCACCCCTGACTGCTTTAACAACCTGAATATAAACTCTTCTGCTGAAAAACTGCATTTTAGTGCATGCCCAGTATCCAGCTTATTGGAACCAAATGCACTGGATGCCAGTATCCTACAAATGAGGGTTGGTCATGACATTTAGTTAAAGTAATACAGGGAGATTAAGAAGGTTTAGATACAACTTTTGCAGAGGCTGAAATATTGGATAGACTTCTGAAGAGGCCAGAATAAAGGGCCAAGGAGCATGAAGTTGTGCAAATATGGAATGTCTGCTGTCTCTTCCTCAGCAACAGCAGCAGCAGCAGCACCTCATTCAGCATGAGATGGCACCAGCCACAGTGCCAAATGGATACGATGGTGTTCTCTTCTCACCTTAGAGCATCTGCTGTGCCAACCAGCAAGCTGAAATGCCTCGTCCAGGGAAAATGCCCCTACCTGCATGCTGAAAGTGGGTTCAACAGACAAAAACAGGATCTCCACTGTGTCCAAAGACAGAGGCAGACATCCTTGACTAGCATTCATTTTTTGATGCCCTCTGCAATACTGCTATTAGCATTGAACAATCAGCCCCCATGGAAGGTGTACACTTATCTCCAAAAACGTGGACCAAAAGTAGTTAGGCCAAACAAAGCTAAAATGTTTGCACTCTATAACTAGAGTGCAAATTTAAAGAGGCGACATGGCTCACTGCTAAACCTTTCTGGAGCCGAAATGAAGCATGAGTCATTAAGTAGTTTCAGTAGGTGACATAATGAGTAACCTGTTTCCTTGGATACGTGAATGGACTTTCAGCAGGTAGGAGATATGCTTCTTGTAAAAGGATGAGAAGGTTTGGCTCACACAGAGATGATTTCTTGTGAATGTTACAGCAGAAAATAGACAGCCTGTAGCTTGCTAGATCCTGAATGCAAAGCACGAAGACAGCTTTTCCATCCTGGGAAGAAATGAGTCTAATATGCAAGCTATACTACAGCATTGGTGGTAGGGTAGCATCAGTAACAGCAGCAGTAACATTTTTGCTAGATACAGACGTAAAAACAAATTCCCTTTTAAAATAATTTGCAGACAACATAGACAGATGATGGTGAAAGAGGGCAATTCAGGTCCCAATTAGACCCTTTTAAAGAATGTGTTTTAATACAGGTGACATGCAATGTCACTGATCTGCAAACCACCACCACCAGATGTATACATGAGTGGGGAAATCACCCATGGGAAAGACATGACAATTAAAGCTTAAAGATCACAGCAAGACAGAATTTCACATGAGGTAACAGTGCTTCACTGCAGCAAAAAGGGCTTAGGAGGGACAAGCCAATGAAGAGGACAAAACCAAGAAAAAATAGGAAGGTGCATTCTCTGCTATAGTGGCAGCCTCTGTTATGCAGATATCATATACCTTTTAAAACAGCTGCAGGAAAATAAAGGAAGGAGGTACAGAAATTATCTGAAGTATGGAGATGTGCACTGCAGCTTAAATGCTACCAGCTGTCAATCTTTTCATAAAGAAAACTAATAAATTACTTGATCTGAACATACCAAAGGAAGCCAACAATATCAGGTGCTCAAGGTGATTCTTCAGTCTAGGATAGCATAGCTAAATAAAGAACAATCACAGGACGCTAAGGATAAACACATTCAATGAAAAATAGAAGGAACATAATACAGGAGGAACACAGTGCAGAAGGAACATAGTGTATAAAATCCACTCATACGGGGACAGAAAACAGAGCACAGAGTTCCACCAAACCCTACAGAGCAAATATTTGGTCTACAGTGCTAGTCCCTACATTGGCTGAGATCTCTCAGAACAACTAAATCAGTCTTGGATTTAGCAGAAGGGTACTCCTAAAGCAGGTGGGCTGGAGAGCAGCTCTGCAGCATGCATTCCACAGTCTGACATTGGAGCCTCTCTGACAGGGGACACGTGATGTTGTAATGTAACAAGTATTGCAAAGAACCAGACTATTCTCTACCTTCCATTCCCTTTAAGTTTTCTAGGTATTTTGCTTGTGTTCAGCATATTAGTATACTTAGTACTATTTAGTATTATTTATGAGTTAATACTCTCAAGTCTGTACATCTCTGCACATGGACACAGCAGGTTCTTCAGGTATCATTAAAGATGACTACATATGGAAGGCTTAGTTGAGCCAATTGTAAGGTGGGCAGCCGAGGGTTTGCAGGACTGGCATTTTGGAGTTAAAGTGTCTGAATTTTCCAGAACTCCTGTTGGAAGTACTTAATGGGTGGGGGTTTTTGTTGGGTTTTTTTGTTGTTGTTGTTGTTTTGTTTGGTTATGTTTTTTTGTTTTATTTTTTTTTTAGCTAGTCTGTTTTTCTCTCTCTATCATTTACGAATACTAAATAGATTCTCAGGTACACTACAAAATACTTTGTATGTTGCACTGAGACCTAGTGAATACAATCAGCAAGCAGGTCCCTGCCCCTGACTGATTGCTACTAAAGCAATACAGCCTTGAATAAAAGTTTGCTGAGAAAGAGAATTCCAGCAAGCTGGCTCAAAAGTTAGCTATTTGATGAAGAATCTGATTCTGCCAGGAAAAGTTAGGCATGTACTGGGAAGACCTAACAGATTCAGCTGCCTCATAAGATGACTTAATCAGAGGACTGCTTAGCACTTGCACAGTGATTGGGTGTAGGTAAGACTTGACTGTTGCCTAGAAGCTCACACAGCCAAGTAAGGCAAGTTCTTGATTTAAGACATGAAGAGAATCAAAGTGATATTTGGGTATGAACTAGCAGAAAGACCTATTTATTCCAAGCTTGAGAAGCAAACTGCTGCTACTTATTTCTACACAGTCTTTCCATGGCTCTGTCAAAGGCAATCCTTTGACTGGGCTACGTTCTGCATGTATATTTTTCAGGGTGGGGAGGTGGGGGGTTGGGGATGGAATCTGACCAAAACCACAAATAATTAGTGTTTCTCGAAGGAAAAACAGACATCAAATAGATGTTTCTAACTTACCTCTACGATTAACAGGATCCTTAGCCACATATGCAATATAGTCTGAAGTATCCTGTCAAAAAATGAAGATATCTACAATGAATGCAAAAACACATTTGCACTGATTACAGCAAAAGATCACAGTCTAGAGTATGTACAGTCCATTGGGCAGAGCCCCAAATGGCATATTTTGCTCTACAGTTGCATACTTCTTAAACCCCATATAAAAGTTTATGGGTTTTTGTTACTAATTGCACCTCTTTCCTTTTTACAGAATGTGATCTAATGCAGCAGAAGTTTAAAATCTCTTCTATCAATTAAACAAACTCAGCAGGACTTGGCCCAGGTCTCATTTAGGAGGGAATAGAATTACAAGCCCTTGTGCTCAACTACACAGAGATTTTGGTTCATAACATGAATAATCATCTGGGTCTGTGGCAGGAAGAGTGGGAGTAACAGCGCTGCTCCTCAGAAATACTGAGCAATGGCATTTATTCGTGTGTGACAAGCAGGTGTTTACTTTACTGCCATATGGCACAGAGGTGCTCAGCCCCTGCTTGGCAATATCCCTGGATGCCCTCCCCCCGCCACACCTGTTGCCACATGCCTGGTGGATTTTCTGGCAAGACCACACAGACATTTTCTTAGGGAAGTTTTTTTCTTCCTCTCCTGCCACCCCTATGCTCCTGTGCACAAGACTTCCATCATTATGCGGATGAAAAAGAAAGGCCTGGATTTCTGGGAAACACTCAGACCTGCTTATATATCTGAAAAATACCATATTGCCTTGATGCAACCAGGAAGTCCTGCTTAGATCTACTATTTCCTGATATACCTGGCAAGTCAGGTATAGATAAACCCAAGGGATATACAGGATACATCTACCCAAACCCTTTTCAGGCGACTGATCCAAGATCATTGCCAATTACACCAAGATCTAATGTCATAATAAACATCAGTCTTCAGCTAAAAGACAGACTTCTTCAGCACAGTTTTTTCTAGGGCGAGCACACACCACCAGCAGCCATCCAAAACAAATCACTGTACTGAATGTCTATACAATTTCCTTCCTTCTCCCTAAAGGAGAGAGCAAGGGAAATGATGAAGCACAGTCATGGCTTCTGGTGACAGATATGAAACCAAGTCATTTAGTTCATCAGACACAGCAGCAGTGAGGTTGGTCTGTTAAAAAAGCATAGCCCTACCATTTTGTCTCATAATTTCTTACACATCCTGTGGCCCAGTGTCTGGGCAGTGACTACAGTGGAAATAAGGGTGCATATCAACAAGTAAGAGGAAAACATAGATGGCTGTGTCTATGGTAGCAAATAATACAGAGCACTTGTCTCAGTGTACTGGTTTCTCATAGCATGCCTGAAACTCTCTGAGGGACCAGCTTGGCATTGATCCCATGAGACCACTATGAGGGAAAAGAGTGAATGTGTGGGTGCAAATTGCACTGCATTATTTATTTCAGGGCCAGAAAGAAAAGAAAATGGGCCACAGATCAATTTATTTACTACTTCAGGCATAGCTAATGGATACATTTATGCCTGAGTAAATCCCAGACCTATCTCATAGCTAGCGTGGGTGTGACAGTCTGAAAACACCTACTCCTTGTTTCATTTAGAGCTCTGAGATTCAAGCTGACTATGACAAACCATTAAGGACCTAAGGTGGGCACATTTCAGTGTGGCTAAGTTAGAAGACCCCCATCCAAAAACTATACGGGGATTGGCTGATGCAGCAAAATGATCTTTGACATTCAAGGACTAAAAAAACATATGAATGATATATAATTTTCAGCCTAAAAACATTGCATTGTAGTGCTAAAATTTGGATGTATTGCTGAAACTGAAAAACTACTGCCTTCAGGGGCGTCTGAGAGACCAGCCTTATCAGACTTTATGAGATCCTCCACTCCAAAATTTCAGTTGATATCTCCAAAAACAGATGTCTTGCCTGGCAGCCTGGAAAGAGCCACCTGAAATTACTGTGGAGCAAAGTTGTTTAGTGTATCATAGGAGAAGCTGAAGTGAGCTAAAGTGGATTGAGAACACAGCCTTGGAAGTGAAATAAAAATGGTTCTGAAATGGTGTGTAAAAGGATTGGGTAGAAAGATTTTTAAGCTCCCATATACTGACACAGCCAGAAGCTGACTCACTGCAAAGGGGAACATTGCAAAAGTATATATGGTGTTCAAGCTGTTCTCCAGGACTGTGGAACACTTCTCCAGGGGTTATATTTTAAATAATATAATTAATGCTAAGGGAGTGGGAGGAAGGTTGTAAAGCTAATTGTCATCACAAATGGGAGGCAGATATCCGGAGCAGAAAGGTTGATGGGATAGAGAAGTGAGAGTAGTCTCACCTCCTAATAAACCAAACTACAAAATAACTTCAGAATAAGATAATCACTTCCTGAAGAAACATGGGCACAGATCTAAGCTTCCTAGGTCACTATGGCCTTTCTCCAACCAGTTTAAAACTCATATAAGGAGATAAATCATTGGAATGGAGCCCAGCTGTGGCTAGGACATGCAGTTTGTTGGTGGCAGTCCTCTAACAACTGGAAGTTATTAAGGGCTGATAAAAGTTATGTCTAGATGGCTCTCTGATGTGTAAATCACATCCTTACATTTTGTCATCTTGTACATGCACCCAGGACAAAGGAACTAGCCACTTTTTGCACAAGCTTTTGGTTTAAAGTTGTTCCTTACTAGACCAGAGATAAGCTTGTAGAAAAACATTAGATACCCATACCTATTTTCTTCCACCCAACACCAGAATGAATTCAAGCAGTAGTCTTATTGGGAGCACAAATTCGTAATTTCACTATACCTTGTAGGCTCCCTTGCACCATGCAATTTTATTTCTCTGGTGGCTCAATGACTCAGTAGCAAGATTTTTATCTCTCTAAAACATTTGGAAGAGCTTGTTTACTCCAAATCCAGAACTCTACTGCTGTTCCTCTCCTCTTTCCTGGTAAATCATTTCATCAGTGGGCAGTGTGAAATGGTGTTTCCAGGACCTAGCATTTGGGATGGCAGATGGGCAGTAAAGAATCTTCTTACGGAGGCAGGGAACTGTGCTAATCACTCCTCTGCCCACTTCAGGAATTGTTCATTTACAGCATCCATTGCAATCTGTTGTGTTTCAAAGCTGCTGTTGATCCATTTTTTGTTCCCCAAATTATTGATATTGTGTCCCTTCTGTAATTGCACTGAGCTCAGCAAAGCTATACTAAAACTGAAATTTGTCTTTATGTTTTCTGACAATAGCAAAGTGAATAGAGAAAGAAAGCATCTTCACGTTAACAGAGTTGAAATGAGAGAATTAATTCACAAAGTAGGCTAGAAATTGCCTTACCTGTAGTACATGACTGATATATGACAGATAATCACATGATGGATAAAAAGGAACTCATTCAATTAATCTAAGTTTAAAAGCTTTCGAACCTCTAAAGTAAGATGCGAGCACTGTCACTAATTTATATTTTTCTCCTTGCTTCCTGAGTGACAAATACTTTTCAAGCCTATTTATTAATATACCTTTGGATGAACAGTTTATAAAAATAAGGAAAAGTACAATAAGCAGGAATCTGCCCTTTGATCTGAATGAATAAAATTTGTAGGTGTATCTAAAAGCTTTGCAAAACAGGAGAGAATGATCTGTGCTTTTCCTGAAAGTCTGTCTTCAAGCTGCATGACTGTAGCAAATATACCTGCAGGCAGAATTTTGCACAGTCTTCTCAATGTACACTTACAGTTGAGAAGAAAAAAAAAGAAAAGCATGCATTACTATAAATACTATAAATACTATAAATACTATAAATACTATAAATACTAGTAAGATAAAAAACAGGATAAAAATCCATACAATGTCCATATGACTATTCCACATTACTCTGAAAAACAAAGTTTCTATATGAATGCTTACAGCCCCTTGACAATTTTTGTTTCAATCATTCAAAGGGAAGCATCTATGAATGCTTGTCAGCTGTTCCCCTCAAAGAAAGCTCATTGGCAATGATCAAGAAAATTTTATGAAAGAAGAAACAGGAGCTATTGTGGTTATATTTTTCTTTTAGTAAGTTATGCATTAAATTTTGTCACATGAGCCTCATAAAGCTATGTCTTTGTGGGAGAAGGCTTTAGAGAAATGCTTACCGGATCACCTCCAGACGCAAAGGAGATAGATTGCATATGGTGATTTGCTATGATCTGTATGGATCAGAAAGAATAAGTGTGAGTCAGATGGGTTTCTTACCAATTGCAATTTTGATTTCTTTTGTTGCTTGTATGCTGGTGAAAATCCAAAATCAAAATTTCCTACAAGGGCTTCAAAGAGTAGCATGATAATATAAACAAACTTAAGGATGAATGTATCTATTCTGGTGTTCTTTAAAATATATCAGGACTGCAAGATTGCTAAATGTACTCAGAACTCCAGTAAATCCTACAGACCTGTCGGAGAGTATCTTTGGAGAAATTTTAATCTGCTAAAACTCACTTGCTTTATTACAGATAATGATGAATGAAACAAATGGTCCTATTCATCAAATCATTTTTCTGCTGATGCCACTCTGGTAAAATCAATGAAACCCTGCCAACCTGTACACCAACTAAGATTCCTAACATTGCATCCAACACCTACTGTGTCATTTTATGTTTCACACATCAACATGTTTACTATATGCAAACAGAATTTTGAATCTAGCTGCAGTGTAGCATTGTGGACAAATTCACAGGCACACTCCAGGCCATTTGAAATTCAAATTGCTTATGTACGATTTGAACTAATATGATATTTCTCTGGGAAGAGACAATTTGTCCTGAACCTCTAATAAAAGCAGAACATCTCTGCTATTCTGAGAATTAGCTTACAAAATCTTTCAATAATGAAATAATGTAACAACCAAGAAAGAAAAGGTCATTTGAAAGGAATTTTCACTTGATATTTGAGTCACAGAAACCATGCCAAGAAATTCATCCAGAGTGGGACAGTCCCCCGTTTAGTGCCTCAGAGCATCTGACAACAGAATTAGGATCTTGATTCTTCACTTTGGACAAGGAACCAAATACAAAAAAACATTCTGGAAAACACAAAATATTCTCTGCTAGAAAAATATTCTCTGCTTCCCCCAACCTGCTTCTTAACTGCACTATCAACTAACTTTGTCGGAAAGAAAAAAGCCTGACGGGACTTTCTCTGGATCTTGCTGCTTCACTAAGTCAGGGAGAGGTGACTACTATTTGTAGTGTTTCATTTATGTAAAGAGTACTTCATTTTCAATAGCCCTGCTTGTCCCACAACAGCCTCCAAAGATGTGGTTAGTTTTTAAGTGTACACAGTAGTGAATTAGTGTTCTGTTACTCAGCAGTGAAGATTTCCTTCTCTTTTTCCCCCTTAAAGAACAACAGAATATATAGAACACAGGATATATATGGAAGTTAGAATGTCCTAATAATAGAACTGAACTAATGAAGTTCTGTTACACATTTCATATTAACACTATCTTGACTTGTGCAAATAACCTAAACTTTTAGTTCAGCATACAAAGGAAAAATTATTTCAGATTGTTGCTAAACTAATTTTTCCAAATTTAAGGAAGCTGAAAAGTGCTTGGAACCATTAGTTCATATCAGTCATTTTTTTTAATTCCACAGCTAATTTAGTTTGAGGTAGGGGTATTTCCCACCTCCCCTCTGCCAATATCAAAATACTGAAAAGAGACACAGCAAATTATCAATGCCTTGCATTGCTTAAAAAAAACCAATTCACTAATGTTGGCATAATAGTTTCAAAACCTTTCAATCTATGCCAACCTTAATTTTAAAAAAATAAGCAAAACAAAATCATCTTCCACTCATCCCTGCTTAATATATTCACGGAAATGTTGTGCGGGGGTGCATGCAGTTGCTTTCCTTCTACCACAAGGGCCAGCAACACTGTCTTGTCTTTTCTTTCCTTCTAGATCTGCCAGGGAAAAAGAGGCTATTACAGAAGTTCACAGCCATCCTCCTGTGTGGGGCCTCAGAGGGCAAAGATCCTGGGCCATGCTTATCTGCAAGTCAAATCCTTGGCATAAATAAGAAACAGGCGAGGCCACAGCCAGACCAGGGATCTCTGAGAAACCAGACATTTCCCAGGTCTGCAGCACCCAGAAGAGTCTACCTCAAAAAGAATGGTATGAGAGAAAGATGAACAGTTTTGTCAATTCAGAGAAAAGGCAAAACATGTGGGGGATGACTATTCTCTGAAATAAATTAGTCTAACTACATTTCTGGCCTAGCATTGGCTGATGACAAGCTGACATTCAGGGTTTGGCACTTCCTCAGTAGAGCTAATTAACATCAAGTTCTGCTTCTGATGGCGGGGTAACTGTCCTTATTAAAAGCACTGCTGTGTTGTAAGGCTACAAACTACTGCAGCCAGTCACAGCACTGCTCCCACAGTCTCAGTTATCACTGCAGAGGATTGTGATGTTGTCTAAATAAGGGTAAGAATGAAGATATATGAATGAAAACATAGTAATGAACAGCAAGCTTTTTAATAGACTATAGTCTATATATTTTTTTTCTGATTTTTTAACCCCGAGGCCCCAAAGGACAGTAGGAATTTTACTTTTTCTTCTCTGTATCTGGGCAGAAAGTTACATGCTCTAATGCAATATGTGGTTCACTGCAAATAGCACAGCAGTGACTACACATGTCTGTCTGCTTCCTCTTCATATATACCCTGAGCAAGGATTTTTCTCATCTCATACATCATTCACAAACCACTGCAGCGATTCCCCAAAGTCTGTCTGTACCTTCAGCACTGAAGAAGAAGAAATGAGCTACTTTAAAAAGGCTGCCTTCTCTCTCTAAAAGACTGGTCTTCCACTGCACTGCAAAATCCCTGAGGCTGTATTTTTAGCAGTGCCTCAGAACAGTTTGCCCTTTAAGACTCCAAATGGGAAGAAAACAACAAAATTGGGATGCACAGTCAGTATTTTAGTTGTTGCTCCAAGCACATCCCTTTTACTGCTCTGAAAGTCTGTATTTTTATTCAGTAAGAACTCCCATGACCAGAAAATGGTATTTCACATCATAGGTCTTTTGAAGAGCAAAACTGATCTACCTGAAACATGGCGAGAAAATAATTCATCCAAGTTGTGTTGAATAGTGAAATTAGCTGACTTCCACTATGATTATATTTTGGGTTCATTCATTTTATGACATTATTTAGGAATAATAACTTTGAGCAACTGAGTAGTTGGCAAACAGCAAATAATTGTGCAGCAGGCTGTTCATCAAAAGCCTCACAAATTAATACAGAAGTTACACTCACCTGTTTGGTATCTGGATTCATTAGATTTAAGCTGCTGGTGGAGATATTCAACATTATGCTCATTCCTGCAAACTGAAGATTGCTCTTTCCCAAGATGCTAGAAAGGACTTTGCTTGGTGGCTGTGAGGAGGGGGGGAAAAAGCAGATTTTTGTTCTCTGATTTTTTTTTTTGAATGACCTTCACTGTATGCAGGGTTAGTGGTGATCTTAAAGGCTTCTAAAAAGTTTATGACTTTTCAAAGTTCATTTGATTGCAACAACTGTTTTCCTCTGGAAATTATTTCTCATTTATACTACTACTACTACTACTACTACTACTATTATTATTAATAATAATAATATAAATAATTACACTAGCCAAGCAGTTCTTCATCTACTCTTGACCAAAAAAAAATAGGGGTATTGTGAGACAGCGGAGTCTCATCTTCACCAAGGAACCAAGTAAGAAGACCAAGATGAATGCCTTCAGTCAGTGTCTTGACAATGTTCTTGTTCTATAAAATTAGCTTCAACTCTTGAACAGAAATCTGTTGTTTGCTCTACATCTCCTGACTGTTCTACCCCCTTGCCACATGGAAAGCGGCACTCCAGTGATACCAATGGAATACTCACAAGATGGGATACAGAGTGTTTTGGACCAGATGACCTCTAACGGTCCCTTCCAACCCAAACCATTCTATGACTTTGCTTGTGGACTGTAAGAGTAGGTAAAAGCCAGATATAGACAAATAAAACCTCTTTATTCTGGGTAAAACACACATCTAAAGATTATCAGAGAATAAGTCTAAGAATTCAATACAGAGGATGTGATAGTATTGATAACTTTTATAGGCCTTTCACCAGGTCTTAGGGTGTTTTGCAGCAATAGAAGTTATGCTGTCAAAGCAAAATTCACAAACTTCTCACCTTTGATAGCTATGGGGAACCACAGAGCTGCATGAGAGCAGCCTCATTCAAGTAACCACAGCCTGTGCTTAGCATAACAGACCAAGTCCTTTAACTTGCTCTACTTGTACTGGTGAATATTCATGCTGGTCATTAGGATATGAAAGCAAAATGAATGGAGACAGTGTTATTCTGCCACTATATTTGCATGTGTCCTAAGCTGTCTGCAACTTTGGATAGTTTTGTTCCTAGCAGGATGGACACACTTGAGCTTCTGTAGTCCTGAAAATTTACATACATTCAATTTTCTCTTCCTTCTGTTTAATTGATTAAAAATTCACTATGTATATGCTGCTCCTATGTAACATGTGCTGCACTATTTCAACCTTTCATGTTACATAGCTAGTACTTCATTAACTTCTCTTTTGAACAAACTCTTCTGAATATTCTTGTATCTCTTCTTTCCTTAATCCTTCATGATTCCCAGGTCATGTCTAAGGATCAGCTATTCACAGTGTAAATAAAGTGTAAAAATTTGGCCTCAGGAAATGCACGTCACCTTAACCAAATTGATATACCACTAATGGCAGAAACATGATGAACGTACAGAACAGAAGGAGACACATCTTGACATTTATCTGAAATTCTGTTGCTCTTTTCAATAACTGATAAGCAACATTACTTCTAAAACCTGTAATACAACAAGGTGTCTCACTAGGCACTTGTAAGTCTATTTACTTATTTTTTCAACTACATTTTGTGTCATTTTGCTTTCCAAGAAGAAAGATACTTTCATCTTCACTTTCAGATTTAAAAGGAAAAGCCAGAGAATCAAGAAATGCCAATGAGATAAATTTGGTGGAGGTGAAACCATAGCCTTAATTTCAGAGACAATTTCCAATTACACTGTGACACATGTTGTCACATATGACTGATTTTACCAGGATATGATTCTCCATTGTAAACAAATGGCATTTCTTGGCGTTCCTTTCTGCTGAGATTCTGCCTAGACGGTGGAGCAGCTGGGGAAGCAGGCGGACCTTTTGCTTCACCTGCTCATCCTCCTGTGCCCAAGAGCACACACAAGAGCTATAATTAACTACTTTCTATGCTTCTTAAAGATAGCATTACATCCCAGCTTTGCTAGCAGGCCTCTGAGAGAGACTGCTGAGAGCCATCAGTGCAGGAGCTGAGCCAAGGCTTTGTCTTCTTCCTGTCTGAAGACTCTGACTCCTAGCACACAAACAAAAATAAAAGCATGCTAATAATGATGTCAGGTACACACTGGACTCACCATCAGGGCTGGGTGCTGAGCATCAGCCTCAGGTGTTTATGGAAAGAACATAGGGAACAAAAGATCACCTCATATGCTCTTTCCATCTCCAGAAATCAGTGATTACCAGACTCATTAAATGTCATCAGTAGATCTATCCTTCAAGAACAAATCTAGTCACTTTCAAAACTATACATGTTTTGGGCTTCTGCTGTATCTTCCAACACCTATTTTCATAATTTACTCATGCATTTTATGAAAAGACATCCCATTTGTTGGTTTTAACTCTTCCACCAGCAGTCTACAAAAAAAAAAGAAAGTAAAAGGAGGAGTTTCATCCTAGATGTACTTATATTTCCAGATGCCTACAAAAGCAGATCCTGACCAAAAGGGCAAGTGATAATATACAATGCATAAAAACAGCCAATACTTGAAATCATTAATCATCTGCAATTCTCCAAGCTGCCTTAAAGTCACCTGCCTGCTGTGCCTGGTCTCCACTGTGCTGAACACAGAAAATACAGTCAACTGCACTACAAGAAAAAAAAATACCTTTCGTTTCTTGAAGGCTCTTTTGGCACCAGGCATGGCTTCACAAACACGACTGATTGCTTCCCTGAAGAGACAGAAAAAAGCTTTATGGCAAAAGAATGTGTGGGTTTCTTCATTACGCTTGAAATGCACTGGAGAGAACAGTTTCAACTGTATTTCTGTTCACAAGTGAGGATAGTTAGCAGGTCAGTTAGCTTTGCTTTAAAAAAGAAATGTTTCCTCACACTATTAGAAGGACCTTTTCTCTCTGTAAATTAGAATATTGCTCTTAATACCACCTTTTCAGTCTCACTTTTGTGCATTGCTTAACACCTTCTTAAAAAAAAAAAAAAAAGTTTCTTTTGGGAGTTAGAAAGCATCATTTTTCTTACTACTATACTATGCACTTTTCCAGTCAGAACAAAACCACCAGACTTCGGTATCAGAATCCTAAAATATTCCTGATAATGCGTACATTCTATACAGTACATGAGATGTACAACATTTTAATTTATACTAGTTCAATACAGTCTGAATAGTTTATTAGTGGCCTTATGTGTACATTATAGGGAAAATTATTGCCATCAATATTTTGCTTCAGTTTTTTAACATTGCTTCATTCTTCCCATTGTGCTCAGGTTGACTGGAAGAGATTTACAAAACTTATTTGAATCGATACCTTTTCATAGAAGAGTAACAGTACACCACAAAAACTCTTGAATCAAATCATATTGCTCCAAACAAATCTTACAGTTCCTTTCAGTATTTAGCAATTTATTATTTGAATGGTCAGTCTGGTCAGTGTTTAGAATTTGCTCCTGTACACACACAGGTCTTCCCACTCACCACTAGGTGCAAGGCTTTAATAGGTTTGCCCCACTGCAAGACAGAATGGTTTTACAGGAACAAGCAAAGTTGACTCAAAACCTTGTTTAACTATTTTTAATATGTATTGAGACTAACAGCACATTATATATAGAGAAAAAAAAAAAATGCAAATAACACATACTTTATGCAAAAGCCCCCAAAACTCAAAACCAAACCAATGAACCAAAAAACCCAACCAACCAACCAACCAACCAACCAAATGGGAAACAATGAACTACAAGATAAAGAACAGTCAAAATAATAAAAACCTTGAAATATCATCTGGATAAAGATATAAATTATTGTAACTTTATGCCATATGCCATATATTTCAACTATGTACAGGATCAATATGTGAGTCAGGAGAACAATGTCATACACTGATATCAGCATTCAACTTATATTGGCTCAGCAAATGTGACAAATTATATCAGATGGCAATCAGTAATTGCTATATAGTTATGCCTTGTTTGCTTTTAGCTTGGACCCAGTCCAAGGTTTGAATCACCTGGAAGTATCACATTTTATTGGCTGGGGGAGATGGGTGTTTGTAGGAATGGAACACACCTTGAACCAGGTTTACAGTCCTGCCATTCTGAAGAAGTGTGAGATTTATAGCAAGAGATAGTTAAAAAATCTTTCTAGCACGCTATCTTTTCTTCAGGTCTAGAGGAGAGGTTGTTTGTTCCATAACTTGTCTTATGCCTTTTTTTCCCCCTCACTTACATTAAACCCTGCCTTGCATATGCACTCAGACCATTTTACCAACAACACCCCATTTCATGATTTGGCACCTGTATTTAGTTCCCACATTTACCACTTTTTTTTTTTTTTTTACTCCAAACAAGTTAAATTAATTACTAGATTTTCTTACAGAGCAAGTAAAAAGCAGTTGGTTTAAAAGAAAAATGTATGATGCATCTCAGAAAGCACAGTAAGCATCACATAGCTATCACCATGATACTTAGACAAGAGTTACTCCTGAAAATTAAACCAGGGAAAAGTAAATAGTACACCTCTCAAAATCTTACAGTTCCACCAAAATTCACCAAAAATGTTTTTCTTTGACTCAAGAAACCGGCATCATCTTTTACAGAGTCTTCTCTGGCTACTGAGCTAAAACTTGTGGTTTCCTATCTCTCTCTTCTGCTGAAGCAAATCTTTTGGTTTTAATAGAATGGGAAATCAGGCCACTGTCAGTCTCCAGCCCACTTCAGTTTTTCAGACCCATGCCTCTTGCTTCACCAGGTGTGTCTTAGTTTCCCAGGCATTTTGACTGCATGTTGCTCTCACAGAGACATCACCCGCAGTTGTCACCTCCTTGTCTCTTGCAGTGGTCCAACTGGTGCACTGAGATACCTCATAGATTTTGCCTCTCACAGAAAGAACTTGGGTTTCTGAGATATATGTTTGAGGGATAAATTAGTCTATCATTTCCTTTCTCTTCCTATTTGACCCCATTATCTTCTCTCTCTAGTGGCAGCATGGAACTTACAGAAAGACAAGGGGATTTTCAGGCCACTGCACCCAACAAATGTGTGCAATCTTGCTGTTTTTATAGTTTTATTTTTATAGGAGGGTTGGGTCTTGTAGCAGTTCTACCACTACCTCTCCTGTCTGCCAGCTCCTGATAACCAGACATTAAGTGTGCTATTCAATAGATTCATCTGACTCAAGGACCTTGTTGACCAAAACTGCCACTCGAGCATAGGAGAGGAGATACAATAGCTGGAAAGGATGAAGCCCAGGGCAAGATTCGCAAGTCTTGGCAGAGCAGAGAAGACTTTCAAAAAAAAAAAAAAAAAAAAAGCTGGAAATCCTGGGCTACACCAGTAAAAAAAAGCACTATACAATTTCCAGCTATCTGTCTTCTGTCTTCCTTTTGGTAAGACACCTCAGTTTTACAGAACTCAATGTTCCCAAAGCCTGTGGGAAGACTGGGAGTCTTTGGGTTTTGAACCTCAATGAACACTACATGTATTCAAGCAACTACAGAGTTCAAATTAACAATGCTTTTAGTGAAAATGCTGGGAACTTCAGAAAACATATTCATAGAGTAATTCTGTGTAATCAAGGTCAGAGTGTCCTGGCAGCAACTCTTTGCATGCCTGCAACAGAAGGCACAGTACTTTTCCTGCGTGGGAGTTAAGGAGTCTAAAAGCAGTATTTGAAGAAAATAATAAGAAAAAGGTTGACTGAACATCTGTCACTGCACTGATATGCATTTTATCCAAGGGCCATCAAGATGATTAGAGGGATGGAGCTTTCCTATGAGGAGATTCTCAGAGAACTGGGATTGTTCAGCCTTGAGAAGTGAAGGCTTTAGAGTGAACTAGCATGGCCTTCCAGCACCAGAAGGGAGCCTACAAGAAAGGTGAAGAGAGAGTTTTTACAAGGGCATTTAGTGATAAGAGGAGGGGAATGGCTTCAAACTGAAAGGGTAGGTTTAGAAAAGACGTTAGGAAGAAATTCTCCACTGTGAGGGAGGTGAGGCACTGGAACAGGTTTTCCAGAGAAACTGTGGGTGCCCCATCCCTGGCAGTGTTCACAGCCAGGTTGCATGGGGTTCTGAACAACCTGGTCCAGTGATAGGTATCCCTGCCCATGGTAGGGGGATTGGAACTAAATGGTCCTTAAGGCCCCCTCCAACCCAAACCATTCTATGATTCTATGACAGTTCCCTGATTACTCTGTTCAGAATATTCTACATCAGTTTGGGGGTGAAGTTGTGCACAGATAGCCAGATAGCCTGGTGATGTGAAAAGGATGGCCCTAAAGGTTTCTTTCCAGCTTACATTGCCAGGTAGGACAGGGCAGATGTGACCATTTTATTTTCAGCAAATCAAATTTGCAAATGCCTCAGCAGCAAAAACATCTGAGAGACAAATCAAGCCCAGGAACTAGGCTGAGCATGCCATCACCTGACCTGTGCATGGAAACAGTTGACTAAGGAAGGCAAAACCAAAAAGTTCTGTATACATCTGCATGGCTAAATATTGCACAGCTTGGAAAAGTTCGATGTGACTAAATTTGCTTCCTTTCTAATAAGAAAATTACTTGACACAGACACCCACTACACCTTTCTAAGCCACATCCTGCTTCATTAGCTAGACTCAGATAAAAATCAGTGTACAGTTATGCCAATCTCTTATAAAATTAGTTACTGTACTGTCTGCAGTAGGGACCACATGCTGAGTTCCAAATCTGCCCAGGAGTATTTTCTACTTTGCAGATGGTCATACTGTGGAGTCATTTTCTTGGCACAAAACATGTTGTGTATTTTGAATATAATTTCAGCATTCAAGTGTATTCAGTACAAAATCACCAATACTCGCTTTCTGAGATTGACCTATACTGCTTTAAAGTGGCTTGACATTTGAGACAGAAAAAAGGACATTTTACATTGCCATTTAGTTCCATTAAAAAGGCTAATGTCCTGGTATCATTCATAGCTTTAGTGATATTTTATTCTGTTATATAAAGTAGTCCACTCAGGAAGCTCAAATTTGTTCCTCTATGAAACATCATCACATGAAAATACTCTTTATTTTTTCGATCGTGCTGTTCCTGTTCTTAATTAATATTATTTAACTGATTCAACCCCAGAGTTCTGGAACTCATATTTCAGGGAAATTACATACACATAGAAAAAGCACCAATTTTCTCAGCATATTTGGAAAAAGTAAAACCATCTCAAATAATGAGATGAGAAAATGTGATTATGTTTTAGTCTGAAATGTTTTGTATAAAAATATTTTAAAATTACCAATACTCTCTTGTTAAGGTATTCTAGCGTCCGTAGTTCCCTAGTTTACTTCTCCCCATCGCAAAAGCTTAGGACTTCACAGGCTGAAAATCACACATCAAAAGACCAACTTTCTAAATGGAAAAACTGTTCAGAAGGTTCACAGTTATTTCTTAACAGCATTAAGTTCCTGTCAGTATTAATCATTACCAAGTATTGTACCAGTATCTTCTGGGGAGAAACAAAGTCTGCAATAAATTTAAAAACAACTTGCTTAAGAGAAAATCAATTTTTTTTAAAAAAAAACCAAAAAAACAGAGACCAAAATTCCATTTTTAGAAGTATGTTTAATAATTGAAATATTTTTGTTCATTTGCAAAACAGGCAAAATGAGCATGGGCTGTCTGAAGTAGCACAGGGGACATTCCCAACCTCTGAAGACTAAACTAGTATTTGAAGTGAGATTGACCATG